CAGAAGGGGCAGTTCATGGATTAAAACCATTATAATGAGGAAGACACTTAACTCAGTTATTGAACCTACAATCAAAGACAAAATGCCACTTTTGGTAAGAAAGTATTTGTGAAATGAAGATGAATGATGTAATTGCTGTGTGTGTGATTTCAGAGGCGTGTTTTGAGAGCGTGGCTACAGGCCCAGCAGCGCTGTGGTTCCTCACAGTGTGACGACACTGAAGCGCGGCTGATAAAATTTCAATTGATTATTTCAACAAAATTTGAAATTTTATTTCAGTGAGTTGCCAAGGCAGTCGTTCTAATTTTTGTTTAGGCTTTTTAGTACAAGTGTTTCATCAAATATTTGTATTTTATTTTTGCTCCATTTGAATGAATAAAAAAACATGTTTTTTAACAAGTTATGTTCAATTAAGAAATTATGCAATGTGCAATGCTGCGTTTTCTATACTGAAAAATAATGCCATGGACCAGTTTGTTTTGATGTAATAAAGATGTTTATTTATGTTCGTTTATGTCTGAGCGAGTGAATAATCTGTTTGTGCAGATGAGGATCTGGAGGGTTATGATAAGATGGTGACGAGCAGGAGGGAGACGCAGAGGGTGAGATCTCAGAGACTGTGGTTTATGTTGTGCTTTATCCTCTTCTGATGTATTGTTTGTTCGGTGTTGTTTGCGCAGTGGAATCGACGGAATGAGAAGGGCGAGACGGTTCTGCACAGGGCCTGTATAGAGAAACCCGAACCAGGTTCAGTACCTGCTTGACCAGGTGGGTTTTGCTTATGGTACTTCGCTTTTTAAGAGTGAAATGAAGCTAAAAGATTTGTGCTTTTGCCCTTCTTGAGAAAGTATTTGATGTGTGTTTTTGTTATTCTGTGACAGGGTCACCCGGTTAACCTGAGGGATTACTGCGGGTGGACTGCTCTGCATGAAGCCTGTAACTACGGTCATCAAGGTACTGCAGTCTGCAAGTTTAATATGGACATTAAACAATATAAATAGAGAGAGCTTATCAGAGACTGAAATCTGTTTATTTCAGAGATTGTAGCTTTACTGCTGGACCGTGGAGCAAATATAAACGACCCCGGGAATCGAGACTGTGAGGGTGTCACACCCCTTCATGACACACTAAACTGCGGCCACTTCCATGTCGCACGACTGCTGGTACAGAGAGGAGCATCAGTCACTGTTCGCAACAGCAAGGTGAGGCAAACACACGCTACACATACCTATTAACTAGTGTTGTCAAACGATTAATCGCGATTAATCGCATTCTAAATAAAAGTTTTTATTTACATAATATATCTGTGTGTACTGCATATATTTATTATGTATATATAAATACACACCCATGCATGTATATATTTAAGAAAAATATGTTGTTTATATATTAAATATATTTATATATAATATAAATTATATGAATATAAATATATACATGTAAATACATATAAATATTTTCAAAATATATACTGCATGTGTATTTATATATACATAATAAATATATGCAGTACACACAGATATATTATGTAAATAAAAACTTTTATTTTGAATGCGATTAATCGCGATTAATCGTTTGACGCCACTACTATTAACAAATAAACACAGATGTGAATTGGTATGTTTAATTGCATAGGGTTCATATATATAAATTTTTTTATTTAACTTAATTTATTTCAAGAAATTAATCATTTTATTCAGAAAAGACGTGTTAAAATGATCAAAGGTGAGAGTAAAGACATTGATTTATTTTTCAAATAAATGCTGTTCTTTTGAACTTTCTGTTCAAGAAATGTATCACGGTTTTCACAAAAATATTAAGCAGGAAAAACTGTTTTCATCATTTATAATAATAATAAGAAATATTGCTTTAATGATATTAGAATAATTTCTGAAGGATCATGTGACACTGAAGACTGGAGTAATGATGCTAAAAATTCAGCTTTGCATCACAGGAATAAAATAAGTTTTAAAACATTAAAAACATTTCCAGGGACTCACTCCTCTGGACACCCTGCGTCAGTGGTTTAAGACTTACAGCCGACAGCTGGACCAAGAGACAAAGCAGGAGTGTTTGGAGACTGAAAAACTCATCAAGAGAGCTCTGTCAGGAGACGGTGAGGAGATAAACATTACTGATTTATTTTGCAATATGTTTTTTAAACGGCTGACAGACAATGAATTGCTTATTATGTACAGTTTTGCATGTTAATGATGACACATTCACAAAATTACTAATTAATTAAACTCTTATTTTGAACAAAAATTACTCAGAATTACTCAAAATAAAAAATAAAAAAACTGAAAATGTGCAAGTGGAAGCTATCACATGTTGGGTTGATGCTTGTAATCTCCAGTTTGGCTTATTTACTAACCCAAAATAGAATGACAGAATTATCAAGAGCAATTGATTTACTCAAGAAAGTTTTAGTACTTCAAAAATAAATCTTAGTACTTAAAGGGTTAGTTCACCCAAAAATGAAAATTCTATCATTAATTACTCACCCTCGTGTTGTTCCAAACCCGTAAGACCTTCGTTCATCTTCGGAACACAATTTAAGATATTTTTGATGAAATCTGAGGGCTCTCTGACCCTCCCATAGACAGCAAGGTAACTACCACGTTCAAGGTCCAGAAAAGTAC